AACGCATGAAAGACTTTTGTGTTCTCTGATACCATGAGATAACGACAGCTTCATCTGTAGGAGCACAGGATGGGATCTAACTAAGGAACTATTATCCAAGTCGTCAGAACCTCGGGCCGGCCGTCAAGCGTTTGTTATTGGCAATCAAGCCATTAGCTTAACTACATCAGCTAGACTAGCACGTCACCAGTATGCTTGGCTAAAAGTTCAGTGAGTCCAACCACATCAGCGACAATCTCTCGCTATCCTTGCAACGCAGAGAGTAACTGTAGGGAGGTCGTCCGCAGAACCCCACCCTGGTAGCAAACTATAAGTTGCAGTCAATGGCCCAAATCTAACCAGTTTGACGGCTCCTCTAGACAACCGCACGAATCTAGAACACAACAGACCACCTTCCTGATCACATCTTGGATTACAATGGTTGACAGAACGTTCAACTTGTTCGAAGCACCAACAGTGATCCAAATGATAAACGTCCAACTGATAGAAATATCTCCTTAACATCCAATGATTGGGCCAACTTTTGATGGTCTCAAAAGGTACGCACTAAACTGCAATAGCCCGACCTGGGGACCCAGTGTCACAGAAACCAACCGACCACTTCACTCACTGCACCCGAAAGAGCAGCCCACCACGTTCTTGCAACTAGAACGCATTTACGAAAATAGCAGAATCACCACACAAGGCAAGGGTGTGCCCACTCTACCAACTAATTCCTTCACAGGAGGGCCGATATGAACAGCCTCCGCATTCGTAAAACACATAGGGAGGACTGGCTTTCACAAATACAGTCAAGGCAAGTACCCCACAGTCGCACCAACACAAGTTCACGACACTTCCTAACCGCTCCCATTGCCCCTAACACAATCGGAGTCTACGCATTTTCACAGAATGCGCTAGCATTGTACTTCTAAGTCGACGTTCAAACACCCTTCAAAAGACCAACACAAGAGATCGGACTAGTCAGATTAAAACCCTACAACATGAACTGTGATAGCAAACAGAGCAAACCGTTTAGCACTCAGGACAAGCGACCCAACATTACAACTTCAGGGAATACTTATACCTGGAAATACACACCAACTAGTGATTATATTCATCCACAAACATCAGCTGATGAAAGACGCCACGAAAGATGCACATTGCAACACCCACAATAACACACTGCTCATGACAATGTTAGAAGCCCGTAACATGATACATTAACCAGGTGACGTCTAAAGGTAACAGGACAAATGTCTTACATCCACCTAGACAAAGACCTAAGTGCGCGGATCGCCATACAAAGTGGATTATTAACAGTGCGTAGATTAACCCCACCAGAAAAAACGAGGGTACGAAACACCTTCGGAAAAAATAATGTGAGCGGTTATGCAAGGACACAATAGACCTGTACACGGTATATTACTCAGAAAAACGAGCGCAAACTGCATTTACTCAAGTCTACTTATTCAGCTTCTTCTTTGGACGAAGGTTGCTGTTGTGCCCACATTTCCGCTTGCGACAATTCGTGGCCCGAGGATGCAGACGGGCGTAGCACTTTCGGCAGATCATCTTCTCACACTTGTACTTTGTGGCAAGCGCCTTCATAGTTGGGTCCATCGCACCACCACGCAGACGCAGCACGAGGTGAAGGGTTGATTCCTTCTGAATGTTGTAATCCGACAGCGTACGTCCATCCTCAAGCTGTTTCCCTGCGAAGATCAGACGCTGCTGATCAGGCGGAATGCCTTCCTTGTCCTGAATTTTCGCCTTTACATTCTCAATCGAATCCGAGGGCTCTACTTCGAGGGTAATAGTCTTACCCGTTAAAGTCTTTACGAAAATCTGCATTGCACCAACCACCTCAAAACAACTGGAGTGCGCGCTGGCCTACGCACATGTTGACACAAACAAACAAATCGGAAATGAGTTAAGACCATTTAGAAGTTCACAAAATGTGAAAATCAACTACTTGGGACATAGCTCCAATGTGGTGATTGTATTTCCACATTTGCTACTCAACCACAGGAAATACCTGGGTTTTTCAATAATTATTTCTGCTCCTAGTAATTACCTAAAGACAGTGGGGAAATGCCATCTTCTTTGTCACAAATTTAAAGCAGCAATTGTGTTCTGATTTTATTTTAAAGAAGGACTTATAATGGCAATGGAAATCTTTATGTTAAAGTTACAATAAAGGCTCACTTGAGACCAAAATGCATTATTTTAGCCATAAATTGTTTAAGGTCTTCTTACATTTCTTAGTAACAAATGATGTTATAAAATGTGTTTTCTTAACGCACCTGTTGCAAAGAAATCAACTTTTTAGTTTTTTCAAATAATTCAACAAATCCAATTTTTTCAACGGTAAAATTGAGGAATATTTGACCAATAATCTTCTTTCGAACCTTTCACGTTATTACACTTTCTATTTGTTGTATTTGTGCCCTATAAACTAATTAAATACTATTGGGACCTTGAATTAAATTTTCGACATTGGATTAGCGTTCATAGATCGTGGAGATGGTGGTGTAGTGTAGCGGTATGGCCGATTTCCGCCATCGCGACGCTCATTTATTTTTGAAGGTAATCGGTACGACGCGGTGACGACGTCATGTGACCGGGGGCGCGACTTCCGACTGCGTGGCGTCACGCGGGCATTAAATGACGCGCCGGAGACTGGGAGCCCATCCGCTCACGAGTTTTCCGTCTCCATTGCAGCGCGGCGGAACGGGCGTACGGGAGAACAGGAAGACCAGGACAAGGATATACAAAGATCCTGTTCTCTCCATTACACCCGACTAGTTTGTGATTAGATTGTGGTTCATTTCAGCCTTTATTAAAGGACTCCATCTTGCCTTACCCTCTTCTTGATCATACTATGGGGCCGCAGCGTACAGTAGCGACGTATTAGGGCATAGACTTATTGGACTACACTGGCCTCAGCCAATCCTCTGTCTCTTTGCTTTCCAATAGCATGCGAGTAAGATAAGCAGCCAACCAGAGAAAGACTCGAATGATTAATAGTATATAATGAGTGGCGTAGCAAGCATGGTGGGCTTGGGTGGACGGCGCCTGACGTGTGGTTCTGGCTTGAGATTGGTCAATAAGGCCTATTCTGCTGTACCGGTCTTCTTCATACTCTGGCTCCGGTATTCTTCAGTGAAGGCTTCGGGCCCATGATGAGCATAAGGCTGAGACAAAACGAACACTTTATCGAGAGAGGAACGGCCACAGTCTGGTCAGTCCTATGGGGGAAAACAGGGGCTTTATATATCCTTGTCCTGGTCCCACTGTTCTCCTGTTGGTCCGATCCACGGCGCTGCAATGGAAATGGAAATCTCGTGAGCGGATGGGCTCCCAGTCCAAGGCGCGACATTTAATGTCCGTGTGACGTCACGCCACCGAAAGTCACACCCCCGGTCACATGACATCGTTTCCACGCCGTGCTGATTACCTTCGACCAATGTTTTATCGCCAAGGTGCTGGCAATCTGTCGCCCCGCTACAACAATAGTGACGTGTAAGGGCGCAGTCATATTGGACCACGCTAACCTCAGCCAATCCTCCTTCTTTTGCGTTCCAATTCCATTTGAGGAAGATTTGAAGCCAACAAGAGACAGACATTTAGGAGAAGCAGTTCATAATGAGCAACGAAGGCATCGTGGTGGACTCGGATGGACGTCGCCTGACTCGTGGTTATAGCTTTTGATTGGTCAATAAAGCCTTGTCTTGGGCTCACGAATTCTGCATTAGAACTAAGAAATTTTAATGAATCTTATTGGCTGCTGCAGTCAGCGAATCTGCCGTCCTTTTCAGTTATGGAGGACCATCTGTTCGGTGCATTTGCCTCCCACTTCACCCGTTGAGCTATTGTGACCATTCAGTTCTTGTACATTAACTTGATCGTTCGCACTACTGGTTAATAACTAGATGAAGCATGCACACAGCACAACAAGGTTGAGCTGCCTAGTAAATGGTCATGTACCTGCCATCTCTGGCATTTTAATTATTTTTATCGGTACCTTGAGATCGAGAATGTGCCGAATTCTGCTCAGCAGTCTCGACGGGGCCTACAACAACCATCTTCCATCTATTCTTTAAATACGTAGGATTAAACAACCCCTTCTCCCATTGATGTGATCTATAACCATTATTTATAATTTTACGTGAACAATGGCTTAGTAAACACATTATAAATAAGCTGACAACGTTTACAGACACGGAGTCGATGTCAAAGAGGTACTAATAAAACATACAGTAAACTTTGGTTTTGCAACAAAAAACAAAATAAAAACATTTGCCTCCACAGCAAATCCGTCACTTTTGCACCAAGCAGGTTTTATGCGAATTGAGATTCATATCAGCAACTAGAGTATTAAATGTCAGCTTTTCACGTGTGTCTACATGCAAGGGGCCAAGGCGTTACTTTGATCTACTGGAAAAGATCTGCCTCAAACAGGCATTTTGATTTAAACCAGCTTATAAAGCGGTCGTGAAGGAAAATGTAAGCAAGTTTAATAAACCAGCAATTATTGTGAACAAATCACCTAAATAATCTACTTTTGCAGGGAGCGTGAAATGAAAATTTACCTTAAATTGACGCCCAAATTGTCCTACCGCCAGTTGTCGTCCACATTCAAAAACTCCTGCCTGATTCGGTGAAACAATTTTACTGAGTCGCTACAGTTATCTACAAAGTCCATAAACTGCGGTCACACATCCTGACCCGACACACTTCACAACTCAGCATTCACGACGGTCAAATTGCGTTTTAGAGTCAACTGTTCAAGAGATTATTGGTGATTTCGTTAGAGGGCCCGTGACAACACGGAACCACTGCGACTGACACTAAGCCACAACAGTCATACCCGATCACTGCTTACCAAGTCGCGCCCCTCACCTTTCCACCCATTTCCTTCATCGGCTTCGCACTCTAGCCTGACGCGTGTACTCAGCCACCGCACCGCCTAGTTGCCACGTAACCACACGAAAAACACCCTACACATCTTGCAGCAACGAATCAATCTAATTGCACTGCGCGATCAACTTTACCCAGTAAACACAGCACCCATTCGCTGACAAACACCGCCACTCCAAGGTAACATGTCTCACGATTTTCCCTGGTGCATTCCGAATACACTTCACCTGTCTCCACGAGTCCAGCAAATGTTCGTCAACGCCAGCCAACACCGAACACCATAGACGTAGATTTGTACAGCTCCGTTGATTGTGCGTCAACAGTCCTATAACCCTAAACTTTCATTCCAAAATATCCACCTTGCTAACCCGCCATCTAACGTGCATCCACACAGTCTCTCACCCGCATTCACCTACCACATGTCACCGCATTGCCGAGTCTACGAACATCACAACACCTTCCTTGACTAGACGATAAATTCGAAGAGGATTTACTCAACGCAATGTCAAACTAACCACTTGTCAAAACGCTCAAACCGTCCACCACAAGAGGAGAGGTTCTTGAAAGAGAACTTGTCAACAGACTGGCTTTAAGACGCTCAGCAACAACTTCGCGCCTCATTCCTCCCAACTCACGTTATCCAGCACCGGTGAAACCCTAGTGCGCCTCCACCTCAAGTGCCACATCACAACATTGCACCACACGCTTGCCTACTCAGAAGACAAACACACAATAACAAACAAAACGCAATACAACTGCACGTGCAAATACACCAGCAATTAACCAAATCTCCGTAGACCACGGTAGTGCAGTGTCTTGAGCAGTCACCGTTGTGATGCTTAACAACGGCCACACAAAAGCTGACGCCTGTTACAAAAAATAACCTCGGCCACTGGCACGATTAATAAAAAAAACAAAGTAGAAAGCTTTCAAATATATTCAGACAGTTCGAATGGGACATCAAATAACAAAAACCAAGCCAACATCGGAATTGGAGCACATACTTCAGCACATACAAATACTCTAATCCTTCTTCTTCGAGGTAACGTCCTTGCAAACGTTGAGGATGAAGGATTCTAGTTGACTACGACATAGTTTGCCTTTATCGTCGAAGAAACAGTTTATTGTCTTGGTGACCTCAACCATCGATTTTTCCTTTGTAGTCCCATCGACAAAGGAAACTGTCAAGCGATAGTCTGGGTTGTACCTTAAATCACATTCTCATTATGCCAACCATTCGAATTTACTTTTTCACATGAGATGCTAATGTCCACTTGTTTGGCGGATCGAGGCCTGTTTTGTCCGGCTGAATCCCAACGAAAAAAATGTTCCCCTCAATGAAGTAAGTATGCCACGAGAGGATGGATGTTGCAATAAAGTATCTACATGTCGAATTAAGGATTGCAACTGAGCACAACTGATTTACACAAACACTTTTCCCCATCTCCTTTCACTCTCTTGAAAAAAACGATGCACCTCTCGGAGATCCAATAAACACTACGAAAAGCCATGGCATTGGGGCTGTTTTCGCTTATTAACATGGCAAAAAACCTACCTAAACCGCATCAAACAGCACCAAAACTTTAATAAAACACTTTACATAATCGTCTTTCATGAAGTTGGAGTACCTGAATAGAAATATACAGACTGAACAAAAGCCAAGAGCGATACTGACGCTGATATGTGACAATTTGAGAAAACACTTGTTATGTAATCCAGTTACTTTACAGTACTTAAATATCCCAGACATACATTATGATAAATGTAAAATGGACGTGAGGCCTGCACGTGACTAAATAGACGTTCAAAATCAAGATTTGATTCCAAAATATAAATACGAACAATTAAAGGATACGATAAAATGCAGGCTACCAGTACATAAAAGGATTCTGGATACGGATAAATGTAGTCATAAATTAACGCGACTACAGTAAATAGCACAGAGGCAGTGCATAACATCAATCGGATGTCAATCAGACGGAAGTTCTCCTTGAGATCAAATTTGGCTTTCATTATCTAAAGGTAATACACGATTTCTGGGCAAACCTCTTTCGTTGCATCATCAAGTGCATGTTTCGCTGCATTAACGTCCCACTTATTAATGACTATTTCATTCAGATTCTCCACAGCCACGTCTTTAGCCATTGTCAATTGCTTTCAAAAAGTCGCCAATGCCAAACTGATCTAATCAACAATCCATCACATGAAACTCGCTCTCAAGTCTCCTTCGTGTGTAACCTGGAAAGAGCATCGCAGTTACTAAAATGTACGTGCATCTAAATACAAAATTATCTTTTTTTAATTCACCCCTTTCTGCGTTGTCCAGCATTCCATCGTTAATTATCAAAACATTCGCCCTATTCACATTAATAGTAATGCTGCCAACAGCCAACTTAGTTACAACTTATTATTTTATTTTCAAATAAGGTTAGTGTATTTTCAGCGTCATTTCAGTAATAGTGCTTTCGTTCATGCACTTACGATTAATGAACATGCAGCAATCTGGATCATGGGTGTGCCTTTAGGCGACTTCCCATTCTTAGCACTTGGATGCTGAAGCCATCAATCCCATTTTGTATTTTGATATTAAAACTGCTCTTCTTGAGCACAGTTTAGCTATTTTAGTTACTCCCTTACCAAATCGTCTGCCGGTTGTGGTTTTAAGAATCCAGCATCCAGGACAGAGCACAATGTGAAATGTGCGCATTTATCGCCAAATTAGCCTTATTCGTCGTTGTCCACTAATTATGCTTTTTCTTTTTGCTAAAATAATAAACCATTTAAGAAATCGCATCACATTGAATGACGATCACGATCAATGCATTCGTGTTATAATTTTTGAATAAGCCTTAATTTTATATTCGAGATTCCAATTTTACACAAATTTGCAAACTCCATGCCTTTTCACTACTCATTGGTCACCAATGCATTTCTTAAGCTGCACCCGGTTATATGTCAGAGCTGCTTACTTTTGTTTCTCTTACAATTGTTTCATTAACAAATTACTTTATTTTACGGCTAATTTGCAGCCATTTAAAAATCCTAAATGGCGAATTTAATTACCAATATTAACTTCATATTAGGTTGCAAATGCTGGATTCAAGTGTTAAGCG